GTTGTACAGAAAGGGTAAAATAATAACATTCTAAATGCTTCATTGTAAATAATGTTTACACAGTTATAATAATGTGACCACTAAATACTGTTCCAAGATATAACTATATGGTGAGGAGGGAGAATTCGGAAGTAAGTGGGAAACACGTGTGTGTGTGTGTGTGTGTGCTGGGGGTGAGAGGTGGGTGAAAGGAAGCTAAATTCTCATCTTCTGCAGTGAGAAGTCAACAGACAATGCCTAAAACTTAAGAAAACAAGAAGTACCAATACAGGTATGATATTCAGATATCTGGATTTGAATCCTAAATAATAAAAGAGTTGAAAGTACTTGGCTCAGGGGAGAAGGAAACTGAAGTGTGTACAGAGTGACGAGGAACGGGAGTCATGTAGGTCTAGAGTTTGGGGAACAAACCCTGTAGATTTGACTTTTAACCATGTTCATGTATCATTTTGATAACAACAAAAAGAAGCAAAGAGAGGAATGGAAGGAGGAAAGAAGGGAGAGAGAGAACGATGGAATGGAGAAGGGAAAAAGGGAGGAGGAGAAAAATTTTAGAGACATAATACAGATAAAAATGAAATGGAGCCTAATAGATCAAATGTGGTTTTATAGAAAATGAAAACCGAGGTCCAAAACATTTTTTTAAATTATAAGCTTTAAATAAATATAGACTAGATCTATGTGTCACCTTTTTTTACATGGCAGCATCTGTAAGTGAAGACACTTTCATACCACTGCTCATACCCCAACCTCCTATGGAGTCTCCCCGTTCTCTCCATTCTCTATTAACTTAGGCCACCATCACCTTTCCAGACTGATCTACCTGCTCCTTGTCCATTTTCTATCATACAAACAAAGTTATCTTTCTAATGTTCAAAGCCAATCATAGACTTTCTTTCTTAAAACTCTTCCAACAGTTTCCACTGCGTTTAGGATAAAGTGTGAACTCCTTAACCTGGCATATAAGACTTCACGACCTCGCCTCTGATTACCTCTGGAGCTTCATTTCTTAACCTTCCCACCCCACCCCATCTCTAAATTTCAGCCAGCAACACTGCAGTCCTTTCAGGTCCTCAAGCCCAGGCTGCTTCCACCTCTAGGACTCTGCATTGCTGTGCCCTTTATTCTAGAAGTTCTTAAACTAAAATTATATGCAAAATTATGAGTGTGTGTATCTATGTATGTATACACAAATGCACATCATAAAAACTTACAAGTGATTTTGACATTATTTATAAGTCCCCTGAACATCAACTTTGGACCTCACTTTAAGAATCCCTTCCTTAAGGAATAAGCAAGCTTCCAGCTGCTATCAAAAAGCTCTAAAATAGGGTTTCCCTGGTGGCGCAGTGGTTGAGAATCTGCCTGCCAATGCAGGGGACACAGGTTCGAGCCCTGGTCTGGAGCAACTGGGCCCGTGAGCCACAACTACTAAGCCTGCGCGCCTGGAGCTTGTGCTCCGCAACAAGAGAGGCTGCGACAGTGAGAGGCCCGCGCACCGCGATGAGGAGTGGCCTCCGCTCGCCGCAACTAGAGAAAGCCCTCGCACAGAAACGAAGACCCAACACAGCCAAAAATAAATAAATAAATTTTTTTTAAAAAAAGCTCTAAAATATATTATCCAGAATTTTTGCATATAAAACATACATGAATTACACATGTCAATATCAACTATCTTCTATGTCACTGGAATGTTCTCCATTGCCCCTCTCCCAAAGAAAGTTAGTTAAATTATTATTTTAACATGGTTTCCCTGACAAGGGGTTACTCTAGTGAAAAACATCCTGTCACTGTTCTGAAAACAGTGAGATCCTAGAACATGAATACTTCTGCCTCATATGAATGCCTGAGCATGCTGTTACCAAAAAAACAAAACAAAAAAAACAAACCAAAAAAAATTGGATGATATTAGACGAACAGCTGTGTAGAAAAGAGAATGTAAAAATAAAAACTGCATGTTGGAGCATCAAAATAGTAACCATGTACAGTATATGACTGGTTTTAATCAGATGAAGATTGAAGTTATTACATTTCAAATCGAATGTTATAAATTAGTTCAAGAATGCAGCTCAGCTCTCATTTAATTAGAAATGTCCATGTTTAAATCATGAGGTACAGTAGCTGCCAATGAAGCAAAAGGGCAAAGGAAGGGAGAAATACTGTGTCCAGACCCTCCTGTTGTCAACTGTCTCCTACTCTGGCCGAACATCTGGGGTGGACTAGTCCTGATGTAATGAAGAACTTCATGTACTAGCTAATTTGGGATTTAATGTAATTGAACATAATTTTTTTGAAGACATTAAAATCATTATTCTGGTCTGGACAATTCTGAACTCTTCATTTTTGTGTGAAATGCATTTTCCCCCATGCTGAATTTTAACTCTTTCTTAGATGAAAAGTAAAGCAAATTTTGGGCCATGATTTCTCTGGGAAATAATCCATCGATTGTCAGGTCATGTTAAAATGCAATACATGGAATGAGATACACCTTTGGAAACAAGTCTCATTTCATATTTCTAGCGCTTGATGGAGCTCAGCTAGAGTCCAAATCTACATCCCAAATGTTAGACATTTCCCTATTACCTAAAAGTGAGGCACCACCACAGAGGATTTCTGAGGTCATACAGAGAAGTTTGCAATCATACTAAGGCTGACTTTTCCCCAAAGGTTATGAGTCTCTGCATCTCATAATTAACCAGCTAGACAGTCCAGGCAAAAGGTCTTTCTTTTCTCCCAATTTGCTTAATTCAAAAACACCTCAAGTGACATAGCTCAAATTTTCCAAACTGAACTTGCCCATGGGGCTGAAATCAAGCATGTGCCAGTTCAGTTCTAAAGAAAATCTTAAAGAGCGTTGTGCACAAGGAAAAAAAAAAAAATCAGAGGAAAAAGGGGTAGGAGTTAACATTTAAGTGGGTTTTCAACCTCATCATTACTCCTGCTCAAGAAAATAGGACACAGATGGGTGAAACACACCATCGTCCTGCCCCGAAGAGTCTAAAGAATTCATTAGAGACTACTGCTGTCTCCTCATGGTCTATCGTGAATTTGTAAGGGACACAATGGTTGATTTGCTGCATCCTACAGCATTTAGTGTTCCACAGCATCACGGGGTAGGAAGTGGAAGGATTAGTCACAGCGACACAATGTGCCACTGCAACCCATGGAAGCTTACTGTTGACACAATTCTTCAAGGTTGACTTTTCCCAGGGAACTGAGGAGTGATTATATTGTCACAAGCTGTTCTGACTTGTAAAAATGGTTTCCATTAAGGAATAACACACTACCCCAGACTTTCTCTTACTTCTGGCCACAGCTCCACACTCTTCCACTCCAACACCAGAGAGAGGGTAAATGGGAATGAGGTCCACTGCTCCCAGGCAAGGATGGATCCCCTCTTGAACCTCCATATCAATTGACTGGAAGGCCTCCAGGCAGGCAGCCAGAACGGAATTGCCTTAAAAAAAAAAAAAAAAATTAAACTTTCAATCGCATCTAAAGAAGTAGCTATATTTATTATTGTCCCACCAGTTGTTTTTCTGTAACATGTATAGAAGGTTGTTTATCCATCCAAAATAAAGAAAAATGAAAGACCCAACATTTCCCCTTTCCCCACCTCCCAAGTGTCACAAAGTTTCACATTTCTTCTAACTCCTTACTCCTCAAAGTGGAGGAAGTATACAGTTTATCAGCCTTAAGAAACTTTGTATTGTATTTTTTTTTACAATTGGTTACTTTAAATTTTTTCAATTTTATCAGATTAATCTGATAAAATTCCTTGTTATTTTCAGAATATTTTATGAATTTATAAAATATACACACAAACATGAATTTTTAAAAGCATAAGTATTTTAGTTTTGCTCTTATAATTAGATTTTTCATTAAATTATTCTATCTAAATACATATTATAGACACATCAGAGTGTTATGTTATTACTCTGAGTTTTTATTCGCAGTGCAGTATGACCTTTTGGCAAGAGAGCTAAACAACAAGGAAGGTAATCGGTCCTACATCTGCTGGGAACTATCCACCAGCTCTTTTTTTTCCAAACAAATATACCTTTTGAAAAAAGACAATCTGCTAAGTTGAAGTCAAGTTTATTTGAAAATATTTTAGGACTTCCCTGGTGGCGCAGTGGTAAAGAATCCGCCTGCCAATGCAGCGGACACAGATTTGAGCCCTGGTCCGGGAAGATCCTACATGCCGTGGAGCAACTAAGCCCGTGAGCCACAGCTACTGAGCCTATGCTCTAGAGCCCACGAGCCACAACTACTGAAGCCCGCACACCTAGAGCCAGTGCTCCCCAACAAGAGAAGCCACCACAATGAGAAGCCCGCACACCACAACAAAGAGTAGCCCCCGCTCGCAGCAACTAGAGAAAACGCACACACAGCAACCAGGACCCAACGCAACCAAAAATTAATTAATTAATTAATTAATTTTAAAAAAGAAAATATTTTAAACCCTTTACCAAGCAATACTAAAATAACACAGGTTTTTGTTTAAACAATTATGAACCTTCAAATTCAAGTTGTCCCACTGAACCTTACAACAGAAGACTTGAAACCCATTTCATTTCACCCAGTGGACCAACTCAAGATGTCAGGCTCCCAACCTAAAACACAACTGCTTAGCATGTTTCATTCCATGTCAACTTACCAGTGAAATCAAGGCTGACTTCAACACTATTACTTCACAGGTTAAAACATGAAGATATTTTTCTTAACCACAAAGGATACGTGATCATCTTCAAGGAAAGAATGTTATTAAATATTGGACCCCCAAGGTTCATTTTAATGAAGAGGAAATGGGAAATGTTTGAGCGGTACATGTTCACAAAAATGATGAAATGCAGTTTTGAGGTAGACTCCCTATGTAATGGAGGGGAGTATCCAGATTAACACAGGTAATCAGTGATTAAAGAGCATTCAGGTGTACCTGAAGGGTACCAGGACCCTTTGCCAAGACATATGTAAAAAAACAGAAACTGAAATCTTACCTAACTCAGCAACAGAAGCTGCTATTGTAATGACTGATCTGTTGTACTCTTGATCAGAAAATACGTTGAGCACTGATACCTCAGGATGTTTCTGTCCTATACAGAAAACAACACATAAATGCAAGAATTTTTTTCTGTGATGAAATCTTAATACTTTATTTCTTCTGATATAGTTAAATAGAAATAGTTTAAGATAAAAATTCTGGGGGGTGACCTCTGAAGTGACACTGACTAATCATGAAATTTGTAGACAGTAACATCCACTTCTTACAGTGCTTCCTCTACAAGCAGATGGCTCAGCTCAGATACGAGGCTTTGGTGTCTATGAGAGAACTTTCCTGGCACTTGCTTCTGAACTTGCCAAAGTTCTCTTAACTCAGTCTAAGACAGTAGCTCTTCTTTCAATCGCCAAATCATATCACTCTAAATTCTGTTCCTTATCAATCTCATCTTCTAGGCCTTGTCAATTTTTCCTTCCAAACCCAGAAATCAAAATCTAACATCTGGAAAAACTAGGATAGGCCAATTAGTGCCTGGAGCAGAGGTTTCTGGGATACATGCACCTGCCTATTAGAAACTGTTCTGACTCCACCATCTCCTTTTCAAAGGCCACCAACAGCCTTCAGATGTTAATGACTTCCAGCCTTCAGCAGCTTGTGACTCACTTGAATGTGTAACCTGAAGGAGAAAGCTGCCATACCCTTGTATGGCAACCACACATAACCCTCTAGTTATTTTTGAAGTTTACAAGCCTGGTTCAGGCTCCTTAAAAGTTCCTCGTATGCCTACAAAAGCAAATTCAGAGTGAAGGACAAAAGTTTTCAGACGGTAATTAAACCTTTCACTATGCCATTATATCTTTGTCGCCCTGTCCCCTGGCAGCTTAACAATTAGTCTTTTCAGAGGAGAGGAAAAATAAGTTACACGCAGCAACTACAGAGCTTACAGCAGCCCCGCACTATTAATTTTAATAACATGAAAAGATAAACTTATGTCACTCACTCATAGCCAAATGAGCATCTACAGAGACCTGCCCTGGTGTAGGTCTAAAATTTATAATTCAGCTTTCTTTCCATAAGACCTTTTAGGTCATTTAAATGTTTTCACATTGCTTAATTGGAAAAAATAGAGGTGATATAGTTTTATTCCACTCACTTAAAAATAAATGCCTTTAAAGTATTTGTAAAACAGCAGGTCATTTTCTTAACTAGTGCTACCTTCCCTGCATTTTTAAAACTATGCAAGATGGGTAGCAACACGATCATACAACCTCTTTTTATGTATTTTTTTCAACATACTTAAGCTTTTAGAAGAAATGATTTGATTTGATTTTTTCATTCTAAATCTTCTTCTGAAAAGCTTTTATTCTCAGTTTCATATGATTCAATTGAATCAAATGCTGAAAGAATGAAACACTCTCTCCTGAAATTTCTTAAGCATGCATATAGAAAAAAAATTACTGCTGGCAGGAGGAGCTGTCAGTATGAACCTCAGCAGAAGTAAATTGTTTGGTATTTGTAATGCAGTATAATAGCTATAATTCCATTTGAGCTGCTGTCACTAATAAGCTGATAAAAACTGTGAGTTGAGACCCAGGCGTCCATCAGTGTGTGTCTTCCACAAATGTCTCTGCCCAGTCACTTAATCACGGAATATGTCTCTGCACATTCCCCCAATCCCATTAGATGTACTATCTGACAATGAGGGGCCCAAGCTGGCTCTTACTGCAAAGAGAATGCAAAAGCACAGCTGCACACTGACTCCAGAGGAGCTTTCTTATTAGAAATTATCAGGAATTTTCACAGACATTTCCAGCTCCCTCAAAGTTGCAAGACAGTAACTTAAATGTGCTCAGCGTTAGCAACGGGCTGGGGGAAAACACTTCTCTCTCATGAAAAGCAATAACCAAATAAAAAATGACAATCAGAAATTAAAATCGACTGTCTCAAATGCTTTAGGGCTGTGACCCTAGTGTTCACCTGTTGCCAAAAAGCTGTTGATTTCAAATAACAAAGTTAAGTGATTGTAAGTCTGTAAATACACTGTGTTCTGTGTATGTGTGGAAGTAAAAACAAATGTCTAGAACTGTACGTCATCACATGAACATTTTAACAAGGGTTAAAAAAAAAGAGAGAGTAGTATGTCTTATAGTAAATACTGGCCCAGGGAGTAAGGAGGCTTGAGTTTCAGTCTTCTGAATTGAATCGCAGAGTAATCATACACACATCACTTAAATGCAACTGCCTAAGAGTCTTTATGCAGAGAAAATGGAGTAGAAATATTAGTGCTGCAATGACAGCATGAGCTTTGATGGCAGGAGTGCTTTTGAAGAGGGTTTGGTATTTGGTAAGTTTATTTTTTATTTAACCTGCTGAATAAAAAGCATAATATACAATTATGCTCATTCTATTAATGATCATATAAATGGCCCATAAGGGAAACATTAAACCTTTATGTAAATATATCCTCCTCAGGAGCCTGCCAATATCCTGAATAATGTGCATTTCAGACACTCTCTCCAACGTGAAGAAATATGCTGGGGATTGTATGCAGGCGTTTGGAGAACAGCATATGTGCACATCTGAGTAAGTCGTCTATCTCAGTATCCTGGAGTCCTGCAGAAGCTATAACAGCCCAAGAACAAGGGGGAAAATTCAGAAAGAAAGAAGAAGAGTGTTCTATAGACATTGTTAGCAAAGTACAAAAATTACTGTATTATCAAAACACTACATATTCACTTCAATTGCCTGTTGTTCCTACCATTTTTTTCAAGAAGAGCTGCTTTCGCTACGTTCTCAACAATGTATTTTCTTCTGGCTTCTGAAATGTTTAATAAACAGACAGCCAAACGGAGCCCCAGTCTGGAAGAAGACATGGTAATTTTCTTCTAGAATAGGAGAAAAATAAGCCTTCATTTTGGTTTCTACAGTTCATTCATATTTTCAGGTTCATTAAACTTTTTTAAAAAATCATAGCTTTTTGGAAACCAGGCAGTCATAATATGAATACTTCACTATTTCATTCCTCAGTAACACCTAAAGGATAAAATCCTCAGACTGACTCAACCAGGAAACCACGTATATGTGGTCATGCACATATGAACATATGAAGACAGCAACAACACTAGAAAATATCCATCAAGTTACTCAGTCTGAATTCTGTCCTGTGAAACTTCTTCATTAAAGTATGTTTACTCCTTTTAAGATTTGTCTTCCACAGTTTAATCCTATTTTCAAAGAGGCATGATACTTTCATTAAATGAGATTACTGGGGAAATGCAGAAAAGAGAAATGAGGCAGATTACTTAATATGCTGATTCTTACAAAAACTATTCTGACAGAGAGAAAGGGTATCTCTACAGGCCATGCCATGGGCAGTATATGAACTAACAAAAGGGGCTCATTTGGGGGCTTTAAATGACAACTATATGACTAAGTTTCTCTTGTACTTTGATCTCCATAGTCCCTATAACAGCTTAAAATCTTGTTTCACAGGACTCTGTACCTTGAACTGAAAGCTGACATGGACTACTCTGATATGTTACTCAATAATCAGCCAAAAATGTGACTGATTTTGTTGAAAATGGAATGATTCCACACAAGCTTTGGTGGTTGCTTTGATTCTCCTTAGTACTCTAGAATGGCATTTTCAACTAGTTATCTTTCTATACCCCGAATACTATGAACTAAAGAAATTTCAATATCTCAAAACAAAAAGAAAATAATTCCCCTTTTTAAGATCAGGCCATCATATTTCGGCCTCTTTTAAATATAGCTAAAAGTGAATGTGGCCCTCATGAACTCGATCAGCAAATATTTGATGAGGGTCATTTTGTGCCACATAATGTTCTCTGTGTGGGGATACTGCAGGGAATGATGTCCAACTCTGAGACACACGTTAAGCTCGTAAGTTTAAGCTAACATGCTGTGGTGCCATTAACAGTGCTCTCCATGCATAAATCCACTGGTTTCTGTTCACTAGGATTGTTCGTTGGCCTGATCATTTTAACCTAAGAGGGGATACAGGGCTTCATGGTTAGTTCAGGTTTTCATATCGTGACCATCATCTCATGATTGAAAATTCATAAAAAATACGGTCATTAGGATTTTGTAGACATTAATAACACTGTTGTAATAAAGCAGCTCAGACATCTCTCGTTTTTATGTAAACAAAAAATTGCTTTACACAAGGGGTGTGGGCGTCTTCTGGCTTTCATTTGTTTTCAGTGTGTTTATGTAGCTTAATTGTCTCATCAGGCACTTTCCCAACATAATTATGCTTTTTAACAAATGGTGTTTATGGCAACCCCTAACAGTGCAAAAGAAAGGATTAGTTTCATCCTCTCATTCCACATTTTTATTCCCTGTGGACAGCTAAATCACACAAAGATGGTGTTAGAAAAATCCACCTTCACTGCAAAAGCTGAAACTAGGGGCAATATCAAGCTTTAGGCAAGCAGTCAGGCTTGTTAGTAAAAAGGGGAAGTCTTTCTCTCCCTCCGCCTCTAAGAATGTGACCCCGAGCAAGACCCCAAACCTTTGTGGTTTGAGGGAGTGTGATCCTAGGCCTCCGACCACTTCGATCACCTTTGGGATTACTTCCGGCGAGAGACCTAAAACCTGCCTCTCCCGGAGGAACCGGCTGGGCCCCTGAGGAGCTGAGCAGTTCGCGACGGCTCTGCCACATCACCTGTGTCCTGCGCACGCACCACCGCCGGCACTTTTAGGGCGGCAGAGGCTCGCCGAGGAGGCCGTAGTGCGAGGTCTGGGGCAGACACCGTCGCTGGGACCTCCTGCGCGGTCCCGCCCAAGTTCTGGTGTAGGGTGGCCCAGAGCCACGTGGGCCGAAGGGTAACCCGAGGGACTCGCTGAGGGCCCCGGGAGACTCTAGCAGAGGTATCAGAGTCCGCGGGCGGCGGGCCCCGGAGCGAGGGGCGGCCGGCGGCGGCGCTGCCCAAGGCCCGCCTCGAACCTGCGACCACGCCGGCTGCTCCGCGGTTTGGGGGACCCACCTGCTGGCGCGGAGAGCGGCGGAGTAGAACGGCGCCAAACCGGAGTCGCCGCGCGTGACCGGCGCGCAGCTTCCGTCGCTGGCCCCGCCTCCCGGGCGCCCGGGCGCGCTCCAGCCCCGCCGCCCGCCGGCTCGGCTCTGCAGCTCCTTCCCTGACCCCACCCGACCCCACCGGCCCAGACCGCGTGCCGGCGGCCTGGAGGGCTTAACGTTCTCTCTAGAAGTGATTTCCCGCCCCACCTGCTTTAACCTGTAACTCTCCACAATTCTCCCGTAAATGAGTGACTTTTTAAAAGGGCATTAGAATCTAATGATGAGGTCATTACCCACTGATCCTACGCCAGCAGGGGGCTCTTTTCACCGGTTTACGCACAAACACATCTTTAATAAATTCTCTTCTGAGAAATACTGCCCGCGAGCGATTGCGAGTATGATCTGGACCCACCCCAAGACAAAAGCATATACCCATTTACTCTAAGTTACAGCGAGTAGGAACCAGGCATTAAGCATTTCCCTTTTTTTTAGGCCAGTGAACCTTGAGAATACATTTCTCTTCCAAAAAATCAGGACCTGCTTTTTTTTTTTTAATGTAACAAGGATTAAATGTCACCATTTTGATCCAATTTCGTTCCTGAAGTGAAATAATCACTAAATAACTACTTTGGCAGAATAAATTAATTTCTAAATCTATTTTTTATTTTCTAATTATACTTTTTAAACACAGATTTGAGGAAATTAACATTTATGTGGACATTTGGTTTCTAGCCTAATGTGGCATAAAAATAAGTAACATAATGAGTGTTAAAAAAATCAGGTTCATGATGCTTCTCACATCATCATCATTGTACTTAGATGTCACAACAGTATTATGTGCGATTGTGTCAGATCCAGCCTTCTCCATCTCGGAGTGTTGGCAGGTAGGAGGGTTGTTGGCAAGAGGAGGGGTGTTAACCTCAGGATCCTGGATCCATTCCAAGGCTGGTAATTACATTCTGCCAGCCAGAATTCATCCCATAATTTTAATTGGATAAATCCTTTCTGGCCTAAGCTACTGCTATGCCTGTCAAACTGTTGCCACATTTCACCCCAGAGGTGTCTGTGTTTTAGTTGCAAGAATCAGTCCCTTTGAGGTTGGTTTATCAGTTTAAATCCTCAAAATGCTTTGGGACCCTAAGGAATTAAATATATATTTAGGGTTTTCTTCTATTGACTTTGCATAGAAATGCATAAAATAGATTTATACTCATGTTAATGCCTAAAAACCAATACCCATCTAATGTCAGCAGATAATTTTGAGAGCTCTTTAACCAGATCAACATCCCCAACTTTCTCTTCTTTCAAGAAATTTTATTGCCTATAGCTTTAACTTCCAATTTCCAAAAAGTTCTGCAGTATTCAAAGTTTCTTTCCATGGAAGACAATAGAACTGAAGCCCCTGTATTTCACCCTTCCAACAATCCTATGATGAGATGACTTGCTAAAACGAAAGACAGAGTAGTAATATTACACCTAGTCTTATCATATCCCTCCAGAGAAAACAGTATGACACCTAGGGGCTTCATGGTTCTAGCTGTAGCACCTGCCAGGACTAAATCTTCCTCCCTGCATCTCCTAATGCTCTTTGTGAGAACCACTCTCTCTTCCAGGGCTGCCAGGGTATCAAGTAAGATAATGCTTCTGAAAGCATCAACACAGAGGAGTTACTCAGTAAACTTGAGTCCCTTTCTCCACTCTACTCATGTCAAACACAAATGGAGAGGAAACAGGGCCCCAGGGTTCTTTTGGAAGGGGGACAGCATCTGCCCCTGCCTGAAGACTGTAAGTATATCTTTTTTTAAAAGACAAGGAGACAGATACCAGCAAGGCTGATGAGAAGTTTAGCAATGAGATTGGAAGTATTATTTTGATCTCTTCAAGAATGGAAAAGTACCCTTGGTGTTAGTTTAGCTCTATCACATGTAATCCTGCCCATTTCATGCTTTAAAAGAGATTATGTCACATTTACAATGTATGTATATCAAGCCTCTCATTTTTATTTAACTTAGCATGCTTTGGAGGGATTTTTTCATACTTTTTGGGTGAATGTGTTATTCTGACTCCTCATTTCTCCTGCTAATAAATCCACATTCAGGGCATTAGTTCTTTTGCTCATCATGGATCCTGGCCAGAAACAAATAAGTACTAGAAGAGAGAACAGCTAAAAGTCCCAGTGTCAGTTCCATCAATGACAACTGCTTCCTAACACTCCCATAGCTTCCCTATGAGACAAAGAGGACACTTTCCTGTCCTCTTCATTTTCAGTTTTGCAAGCAGGGAGAACGTAGCTCTTGTAAAAGCCTTCCCTGGCCCGTCAGAGTCGAGGCGGTAAAAGGGAGAGACTGTGCTCTAGTGTGTGGCTCCATAGATCTACTTGAACGCAGAGCCCAGTACTGCTTGAAGAAGCCAGGACTAGGGTGAGCGAGGGAGGCATTCAGCTTGGGCACAAAATATAAGTGGGTGCCAAAAAATTCGGTAATGCAATATTGTAAGAAGTCAAAATTAATACAAAATAAGAAATCAGTGCTAAACAAAATATCAAAATTTTAAGTGAAGCAGGATCCTACCCTGCACTTGCTGACTCACTCACACTCACCTCACCCTGATGCCTGCCCTGCGGTTGTGCTCCCCTTCATGCCAGCCTGTTTCTGATTAGTAGGGTTGAGCGGAAACTGCACCACTGCCTCGCCTGCATCCTCTCTTCTGGGCCCCCAAATGGGCAACAAAAACAAAAATATCAAGGGTAGAAATTTCCAGGCCAGCGGATACATATAATTTACAGTTTGTTCAAGAGTTTTATATATAGGAGACTCGGCCAACTTATCACAA